CCAGCACAAGGCTCCAGCTTCTACGGCAGCCTCAGAGGGTGGCGTTGGATTGGATGGTTTGCATGCCCCTACTGGCATAATGGGTTAGGCTTTGGGCCACTAACTGCAAGGTCAGTAGTTTAAAACCACCAGCTGTTCTGCTGGACAAAGATGAGGCTTGCTATTCCTGTAAATAGTTACAAGTCTCAGAAACCCACAGGGGCAGTTCTACTTGGCCCTAGAGGGCCGTTATGAGTCAGCATGGCCTGACTGGCAGAGTTTGGAGTGAGTGTGTCTCAAACCCCAAACTCACTTCCAGTGAGGCCATGCTGAGTCACGGTGACTCTATAGGGCAGGGTAGAACTGCTCTGTGAGTTTCTGAGACTGTAACTCTACTGGATTTGAAAAGGAGAGTTGAGAGGGTATGCCACACGCAAAGCCCAAGAAGGCAGGGGCAGACAGTCTTAGGTGTGGTTATGGGGACTTGTGTAGAATGAGGGGCAAGTGATGAGGCTGGGGAGGGGGACCGGGAGCAGGGCTGCCCTTGATGTGCTGTGTCCCACGCTCCTGAAACCTCCCCTTTCCCCACTTCCTCTACACAGTGTGGAAGCCGGACTGGACCTAAAAAGTAAAGACAGACCAAAAACCAAACTCACCACCGTTCAGTGATTCCAACTCATACTGATCCTGTACGACAGGGGACAACTGCTCCACTGGGTTCCCGGAGAGAAGAAACAAACACACTGCCAGTCTAGTCCCCTCTGAGAGTTGTAATCAGGGCAACCTCGAACAGATTTGTGGTTCAGAGCGAACCTGGAAAACTTCTCAACTGTCTTTGCAACATCTTTGCAACATCTTTGCAACAGTATTACTTCCTGCAGTACCAGAGATATATGCTGGACCAACGAATGAGTGAATGAATAAATGCACGCTGGGGTCCGAAGGGCGGCGGGGATCAGGGAGAAGGGGGTTTGGATTATCAGATGACAATGGTGTCCAGGTGACCCCCAGCCACTCTGGGGAGAAAGACCAGGCTTCCTCCTCTCCTAAGAGAGCTGCAGTCTTGTCCTATGGGGTCGCCACGAGTCAGAACTGACTTGATGGCAGGGAGTTTTCCGTTTTTGTGTTTTAATTTTATGGAGTCCATGAGATAGCAAGTTTGAAATGACAAGCCTGGCTCTGCCCCCGCCCCCTAGGTGTCCTCCAACATGTTGGCGCTGTTGGGTTCCTGTCTGCTCCTGGCGGCCGGTGCCTTCACGGAGGAGGATGCCCTGGGACCCACCGCCAACACGGCGGAGCAAATCCGGGACATGCACTCCAAAGTGACGGAGATCTGGCAGGAGCTCACGCAGCAGGGCGCCCGGGAAGGCTGGCCCGAAGCCGGGCTGCACGCCGCCTGCCACGTGCAGCCCTCGGCCTCGCTGGACGCGGCGCAGCCCCGGGTCACCGGCCTGGTCCTCTTCCGGCAGCTGGCGCTCGGCGCCAAGCTGGAGGCCTACTTCGACCTGCAGGGCTTCCCCGCCGAGGCCAATGGCTCCAGCCGCGCCATCCACGTGCACCAGTTCGGGGACGTGAGCCGGGGCTGCGAGGCCACCGGGCCCCACTACAACCCGCTGGCCGTGCCGCACCCGCAGCACCCGGGCGACTTCGGCAACTTCGCTGTCCGCGACGGGCGCCTCTGGAAGCACCGCGCCGGCCTGGCCGCCTCGCTCGCCGGCCCCCACTCCATCGTGGGCCGCGCGGTGGTGGTCCACGCGGGCACGGACGACCTGGGCCGCGGCGGCGACCAGGCCAGCCTGGAGAACGGCAACGCGGGCCGCCGGCTGGCCTGCTGCGTGGTGGGCCTGAGCGGGCCCGAGCCCTGGGCGCGCCTGGTGCAGGAGCACGCCCAGCGCAGGAAGAGGAGGCGCGAGAGCGAGTGCAAGGCCACCTGAGCGTCCTGGGCCATCTGTGGGGGGTCTGGACTCCCTCCTCTCCCTCTGCCCGGAACCCTCTCTGCCAGAGGCCCCACCCTGTCCCGCCACGCGCTCCGCTGCGCACACAGGTCACCACTCTCTATTTTGAGTTTCCCAATTGTGTCCTGAGACCACCCGTCCCTGGTGCGTCGTGAGACACCTTCCATCCATTTACCTCCGCCTAGATTCCCCTGACCCCCGACTCTGAGTTCCATGACCCCTGCGAGGTCCTTCTATGACTGGGTACCCCCGTGAGCCCCGAATCTCCCTCCACGCTGAGGTCTACCCTGAGTATGCAGAGATGCCCACCTCAGGAGACCCCAGGGTACCCGGTGAAGTACCCCATCCTTTGAGGGCCTCCCAGACCTTCTGAATTCTCTTTCCACCCCTGACCCCTAGGAGCCTGAGGCTTCTCTGCTCTGAGGACCCATGGCCCCTTCTCCTCTTAAGCGCTTCCAGACTTCTTCTGAGGACCCCTGTCACCCTCACACATCACCACCGTTCTCACAGCCCCTCGCCAGTTCAGCTGGAGGTTAGACCCGCCTGGCTGCCTGCCCTCTGGGGCCGGCCCACCTCTACCCCACGCCCCACCTCTACCCCGCAAGAGCTGCTGCTTTGGATGGGTGGGGTGAGGTGGGGCCTGTTTTGCAACTTGGTGTTACATATTAAAAATTCAGCATTTCAGCCCTGCTGCCAGGGCCTGGGCCTTGTGTTTGTCTGAGGCTTCTTTCTCCCTGGGGCTCGGCTCCTTCCTGGAGATGCCGGGGACACTCCCCAAATCCCAGCAGAACAGACCCTCTCTACACCTCAACCCGAAAAGTCCCGGAATCGCT